TGAGAACCAGGAACACGGAAGAGATATATTCGTAAGTTTTGATAAGAGTTATGCGTAAGGTAGGGTTCGCCAAGTTCTCCGACGTCTAGAACATCGCAATGTTCCATGTACTATTCAGATGGAAGCACTATGAAGTGGAGTATTTCGTAAGCTGGGCACAAGTACCTAGCCAAGGGTTACTGAAATACTATACTATGAACGAGTTACGAGATGTTTTCTCCAGTTCTAACGCACACATCGATTGATAAGCTACCAACAACGTAGCTCTATCCAATCACTACAAAGGGGTTGAGACAAACGGTTAAAAAGTAGGCAAAGAAACGACGGTTTACTTGCTTCAACATGAGTATGATCTTTGAAAAGAGACGAAGACTCACCAATTCTAGGTAGCGAAGGCCTTCACCGAGCTTGCACTTCTTGTTTTTTAATCGATGTGCCTCGTCAATTATGGACACGGCCCAGTGTATATTTCCAAAAAATTCAATGTCAGACATGAGGATTTCGAAGGTTGTTATGAGCGCGTGGAACTTGTAAACATCGTGCCGGTACTGGCTTCCGCCGTGAGAAGAGCCCTTCTTGCGATAGAAGATTTCATATTCCTGGATCATGCGTCGGCTGATGCCGCTACCATGATAGACAACGACATTTAGGTCCGACCAATTTTCGAATTCCCGTTGCCAATTGCCCACAGTAGACAGCGGAACAATGATCAAAAAGGGACCTTTTACACCAGCAGAGAAGACTTCCATGAGGAAAGCTATGCTTTGCACAGTCTTGCCCAGACCCATTTCATCAGCCAGGATGCAGTTGCGTTTGTTGTACCAGCAGAAAGTGAGCCAGTTTACACCTTCTACTTGGTACTCCCTGAGTTTGTTGGTATTTTTGTACTCTGCATCGTCTGTGATAGGGCGCCATAAGGCGGGATCCGGGCGGATTATCTGAAACATGAGAAGATAGCTATTATACAGCCATAACACGGGGTATCTGGTGATAAACAATCAATAAAAG